TTTTGAGTTGTATATATTTTGAGCTCTGATGGGAAGGGAACATAATATATATTGAAGTTAAAGAGGTTTAGAAAGTTACCGAGGTTTGAGTTATCGAGATTCTACTGTACTTTTTAATAATGTTAATATTATTGTGGATTTTTGTTCCAAAGTTTATGGGATTTGTTAATAAGTGAATTTTAAAATAAATAATGAACTAACAACAATGAAAAAGAGATAAGGAGATGAAAAACAACTTTAATTGATGTTGTTGAACAAACTTAATGAGACTGAGATATTTCTTTGTAAATGTTGAGAATAAAATTTAATCTTCTGCAAGGAAATAGTGTAGGCAGCACTTAATGAGCTAGAAAAGCAATACAAATAAATACTTTATCAAGGTAATTATTTTATAAGAAATATCCGTGAAGAAAATGCTTTAGAATTTTTCTTTCAGCGAATTCAGATTGCTACTTTTTTCTTTTCCTTGTGGTAAATAATAAAAAAAATATTTATTACAAATCGTATTTACATTCCTTTTGTTTTATTTTAAATTACAAAAATAGATGTTCCCGCCCGGGGTCGAACCGGGGACCTTGTGCGTGTGAAGCACACGTGATAACCGCTACACTACGGGAACTTGTACGATTCACTTGAAAATTAACAATTAGTTCTACGAACTATTTCACTAGTAACATTTTCATAGAAATAATCTAACGTTGAAGGCTTGATTTAATACAATTCGTTGATAGTTTATTTCAAGGCATTTCAGTCGTCAGTCACAACACGCGACCCTGTGGGGTTGAAATACACGTTTTGAATTTATTTATTTATTAACTAGCTGTTACTTGTACCTATGCTTGCGTAAAATAAAAAACTCTATGTTGATTACACATAAATTACATTTCTAACGGTGAATGAACTTTTAAAATCGACCCAGTATTTGAGTTATTTCAATACATAAAAAAATACAAATCTTTCCTCTTTACAATATTAGTATAGGTTACAATAAGTAAAAAAAGGTTAAAACAATGTATCATGTAATGTATAAGATATCGCGAACACGAACAAAATTATGTATGTATAGTTTAACTTTAAGATTTATTTAATTTTAAGGTAAATTATCTAAAAAATCGTATCACCGCATAAACGCTAGTTCCTCTTATTGAAAAGCGACGTCCTCCGACTCTTTTTCTTATTCAACCTCCTTCGCTCTTCTTCGCGTTTTTGAACGTTATGATTCGAAATTTGAATTTGGAGTGCAACGCCGACACGCACTTGCGGGGCTGCCGAAGGGGAGTTGGTCGTAGTTACGTTTGCTTTAATTGTCATTATAACCCGTCCTATGCTGAAGAGTTAAAGAGATATATTATTATATAAAGAAATATATTGTTATTTACAGTGCAGATTATGTAGTCAAACAACGTGCGTAACTTTTGCAACACTTTCACAACTTTTATAGAATTTCTGTAACAAAAAGGTAAGTTTTTCTTTCACCTAAATTCTTTACTAACAAACTTGGTTCGACTTTGGAAAGTGGTTTCCTGAAATTACGCAACAATGTTAGGCAATTCCTAATCTAGTAAATGTACATATCTATACAAATATTGTAAAGAGGAAAGATTTGTATTGAAATAACTCAAAAACTACTGGGCTGATTTCAAAAATTCTTACACCATTAAAAAGCTACGTTATCAGTGAGTAACATAGACTATGTTTTTTATTACTTTTTATTTCACGGGGACGAAGTCGCGAGCAATAGCTAGTCTTTAATATAAACGACGTGAAACTGTTTGTAGTTTACAATTTAATTATTGCAGATTAATAATCTACTATATTAAGTCAAGGACTTCATCCGCGCGGAATTAAAATACCTTTTTTTTTTTTTTTTACACTTTGTACACAAGGAAAATAATCACAAAAAAGAGATACATATTGAGCATTGGTAGTACAGGCGAGCATAACTCTAATAGAGTTTTCTTACTGCTAACCTTTCGATACAAATTAGATGTTTAGCAGGTAATGAATGATGATGTGCAAAGTAAAATAAACACTTAAACAGTAAGGTTAACAAAATCATACACTATATTATATTATATTAGCTACATAAACATTAACATAAAGATATATACAAAACAAATATACCTACATACATACATACATATATACATACATACATAATATATAGACAATATACATACATTCGTACCTACAG